CAATTAAAGCCAAAATTAGTCCTTTCACGAAGGTCTTAAAAAAAAAAACAGAAAGGAAAGATAAATGATAAAAAGTGTCTAGACATTATAATATTACGTATACACATGTGCCATGCGCAGGAGGCCACGTTTAAATGTCACATGTAACTATCCTCTCACGCCAACGTCAGGTTAGCCATGAGGGAACTTTCACTCGTTGGTCGTGGGCACATCGACACTCTCCGGTGTCAGTGTCGATAGCCAGGCCTCGATCAATCTCTATTGTAAAACGCCGTAAGGATATGGAACACGCTGTGTAAACGTGGACCATTTTGTTCCGCTAAACTTTCGATGAACTTTGTGGGGCCGTGTTGAGTCACGTTTGTGCCTCGTTGCAACACCCCGCGGACAACTCTGTTACTTGCTCGAACATAACGCAGCGCCTATATGCTTCCGTAATTTGATGGAATGCAGGTTTTGAAACAACCATTTTCTAACTTGCCCCGGCAAGGGACGAGATGAATAGCTAATTTTATCAACTTCTCCTTAATTTCATAAAGGAGACTGGGTGGGTGTAGAATTTCGCGAGCTTGGTTTGGAATGATTTGGAATTTTAGGATCTTCGTGAGACTTTGTGAAGCTTCTCGAGCGATTGATAATTTACAGATTGAATTGCAGTAACTTTTCAGTGATAGATATTCTGTGGAGGGGACAGTATAAAATCAGTCTAAAATAATTACTAGCTACAATAAGGGATTTTTCAAATATACAAAATAAATCAAAGTATAATGCTCTTTGTGATATTTAATAAGCGAAACAATTTTTTTTAAATTACTTCATGAAAATATGAAATTTAATTTACAATTAACATACATTACCTAATCATTTTCGGCAATTTGAAAATTTTGTATGAAATATTGCAATGTTTTGATAGTTTTTGTTCATTAACAGTGCCTATACATATGTATACACGTCTGCCAACAAAATGTCGATGGAAATAAGTGGCCAGGTGATTTCGCGGTTTTGTAATCGAGAAGAATCCGTTTCCTTCTGCAATAATCAAACTCTCCTCTCGATGCTTCTCTCGTTTCTCAATCTCCGTTTCACCGCCACGGTTAAAAGAAAGCTACTTCCTCAAAGTAATTACCAAATCAAACCTTTCGAAAAATTTCGACGTGACAAAATTTTATGCCTGTCGTCTGAACGAAGGATCGCGTGCTTTGATAATTTCAGGCTAGATACTTTTCTAAATTTTTATATTATTAGAAAATTCTTTGTAGATAGTAAAAAGATTTCGTTCTTATAGAAATACTTTTGTCGTTACTTTTTTGTAAATTTCACAAAAATAATTAACAAATAGTCTGAGTGAACTGAAAAGGAAACTGGGAGAGTCCTGTCACGCAAATTCTATAAAAATTTCATGCTGAATTTCATTCGACTGATTATTTAAGAACAACACACATTGTTGAATGAATAATAATATTTATATCATCAAATTTCGGGAAAATACTCAACAAATACCTGTACAAAAGGAACATTAGCAATGCCTAATTTTATAACAGTCTCGTACCAAACTTCGTATATTTCAAAAACCAAGTCAAATTCATTTCAAGTTTGAAATCGAGCAATCGACTCTCTAATTACTCAATTGTAGCGAAATATCCAGGTGAAAAGTATGTTAATATTCCACGGTGATTGCCGCGTATTACAAGTCAGGACGTAAACACCGGAGGTCGTTGACCAGTCACGATCGTGGCTCGATCGTTCGAAGGAAAAATGGGAAATGTATTGGGCGTATTTTGGAAAACGCGTTTCGTGCCTGGAGAACAATATTAGCTGGCAGTGTTCACGAAACCAACAACCTGATTAAAACTCGACAAAGCCGCCGGTATAGAGATTCCATTCATCTATAGAGGTTCCAGTCAAAGTTGAAAGGCATGTGCAAAGCCGTGTTTCTGCCAGCGTACATCGAGCTGGCTCGTTAATTAAATCAAGCCTTCGTAATTAGTTCGAGCCACGAAAATGTTCGGCGAGAATACAAACACGTCGTCGGCACATATGTTTTCGTTATTTTCAGATAAGAAAATTAATGGCATTGCAATAACACGAAGAAATGATAACACGTATTAAACAGAATAACAAGATCCTATTAATTGGCTGTGAGTTTTAAGAGATATCACGGCTGGAAAATTTATTCGTTCGACGCTCCCGAATTGGCTGATTCGTAATTAATTCAACGATTTTATCATCTGTCAATAAATATCGGAGGACAATTGGCCTGGTTAATGGTGCCGGGAATGTGAAAGCAATATTATATCGAAAAAAAAAAGAAAAAAGAAAGTCCAATAATACGTAAGAATAAAATAAAATAATACGTGATCTAAAAATGTATTGTTTCGTCGATACGTAACTCCGCAATAATGAATTTGAATTCGATATAATAATATTCATTATATAATTCGAACGTTATTAATATTAATTCGATGATCATTTATTTAATCCAAAAATGTATCAGACTAATAAATATTTGATCAACGTGGAAACGAATTTACAATTTAACGGAATAATTAAATGTCCAAAATTAATTAATTCCCGAAATGAATTTCCATAAAAAAATTTACAAACATTCGGGAATAGAAAGGAGCAAAACAGCGATGAGCAAATTTCAAGCAAATCCTTGGATTCTCTTTCATAATCTTCAATATTAAAACTTCGATATTAAATCGATTGAAAAAATATTGTAAACGTAGTACAATTGATCGATCCTTAATGGTTTAACAAATACAAATCAACCGTTTGTTTTCGTTTAGAAACTCGTCTAGGTTGATTTATGATTGAATACAGATAGCTTTTAATGAAGAGAATGTTACAAGCATATTGAATTCTGTTTCCTCGAATCGATTACCGAGAGACTAACTTTCGCCGCAGTATAAACGATTAAAAAAAAAAATACATGATAAAAGAGTGATGCAAAAATCTTTCGTAATGTCGTCCTGTTTTTCGATAACTTTTCATCCCGTCGCATTGTAGAACGTGCGACAATTTTTTGATGGGGATTTTCAAGAGAACGAGTTTTCAGAGTTGTAATTATTGAAATTAAACTATAATGAACTACTGGCTTGACTTGATATAAATGAATAGTAGCAAGAAAATATTAAAAAGTAATAAAAAGAAATCTCTTTTGAAAAAAGCCACCACTTTTTTCAAGTTCAAAGTGTTCCAAATAGTTCTTCCTCTCTTATTCATAATTCTGAATTTTTACATTAAAATACCAATTAAAATATTTAATTGTTAACTATTAAAATATTTCGTCACCTACGTTGAGATATTAGTGACAAAACAAATAACAAAGAGATTGAATTCTTTTTTCATTCGTATGTTTCTACCCATTTTTTTGATTTGAAGATCAAGCTACTTCACGCAAGAGTTTTAATAATATATATTCCCTTCAAATTATTCAACTATCGTAACATATATTTTCTTGGCTGGTTGATTGAGAAAGAAGATAATTAAACGTTGGCATATCCAAGGTTGTGACGAGGAAAAGAATAATGAACCGTTAATTTCCCCTCGTTGAGACGAATGCTAATGCAACGCAAGTTCTCGAAGCGCTTATCAACAACTATCGAAATTCATCTGATTTGTTTGATAGTTATCTGTATTTTAGTATATTGGTATCTTTGTTACTGCTTGTCGTTTTATCGAGCATGATAACGGCATCACCTTAAGTCGTCATTAGATTCCATCGCGTTGTAATATCGTTTATGTCGTTACAATATTTCTATTTAACATTATCAATTCTTCCATATTTTCTTATCGATAGCGAAATTTCGAACCTGCCTTGTAACTCGCTCTAATGCGAACGCGCATCATAAATCTTACCTATCAATTCGAAATTACCCACATTGTTATGCAAATATTAGATCTAACGACTGCGTGGAAGTTCTCCATCGTCGAGTGACAATCGTCAGCTCGTATCGTGAATTTAATTAAACCACACCTGACACAATTTGTCAACGATTCGACAAAAGTGTCGAAGAAAGTGCAATTAATAATCTGAAGTAACTTGCAATTAATTAATTGCTAATGATAAAACTACAACTAGACTGCGAGCTTTTATGCATTTTCATATTTTGTTCCATCTGCTACAACACTGTAACAAATATCCTATTTTCGATATTGCACGCGCTGTGTGCATTTTTGTACTTTCAAATTTGCCATAAATGCACAAAGATCCGCAGTCTAATTACAACGTAATTACAACTGTATTTTATATGACTTTATTCGAAAGCAGCGAAGAAACGAAAACTCTATCCTCCGTTTCTGTTCTCCGTTTCCTTTCGTTTCGGAAACGGACAGTTCGAAACGTACAAAGTTCCGGAGTTGCAACACCGACTCGTCGAGCGCGCGCGCGCGCGCGTTCAACACGCCTCAGTTTACAGATATGCAAGTAGCCGGCCCCCTTTTTAAATACCCGTATCGTGTGTCTTTAAATCGGTATTTAAACTCGGCAAACGCGAGTATCAGACACGTCAAATATCAAATCGACGAAAGAAGCGGAAGTGACGCGTTTACGGAGGACTCGAAATTATTTGTCAATCAGACGTTTTCACGCGGATCGTACCCGCGGACATGTACTTTCACCGTGGAAACATTTATGGAACGATTCACGCCGACCTTAACGAGAAACAGGATAGAACAGGAGAAGCATCGTTTAGAAGCAAAGAACATCGTTTACTCACCGCACATATTGCTCCTGTCGTCGAACACCGGCCACGTAAAGTAACAAGATCGGTCGTAAAGTGGAAAGCAATGTGGACGTCACTTAGCCAACTGCGTGTTGCTCTAAGCCACCGTGAGTTACGGTCTGAGCCGCGCTACAGCGTGCTCCTGCCTCTTATGATACGAGATTTCGTATGAGTGTGCGGATACGAACACGTTTACAACAGGTTCGTACGTGTGCACGACACTATCATGCAGCCAGAGTCACAGTGGGCGCATCGTCTGCACGCTGACGTATCGCACGGCTATCGCTTTTGACACGTTGACAGTACCGCGGGAAATCGTGACTTTTCCAGTCAACAATCACGGCGGCCGCATTTACGATGAACGAACGCCGGGGAACGTGTATCAGAGATTAGTTGTATCGATAAAACCTATCAACATATCCAAGAATCACACACTCGAAGAATTGTCACTCATTGGCTCTGTCTTTCTTTCTCTCTCTCTCTTTCTCGTGAATGAACGAACCGTCGGGATTGTCCCACTCGTTCCCACTCGGCTTCGTATTCTTCGATTTGCAAATGTAACAACGTCGATCCCAACGTCTATTCAAACACGGTGCGTTATGAAAATGGATGAAACATCCCGAAATGTTTGGAATCGACCCTTGTTGACATAGTTCTTGTCCACACTGCGCCAGCATTGGAGCACGAAGCACAGAGTGCGCCAGCTGTCGGTAGGTGGTACCCATCGATAATTTAGACAACACAGGATCTTTAACATCTTTTTTAACGTCAACTTTTATCGTTAAAAAAGTCAACCTTAAATGGGTTATGGAGTTTTTTGATACGCGCGACAAGGATGATCAACCGATGAAAAGGGATTTCCAATGTGTAAAATGTCGTTCACAATTGCTCGCGCGACAGCGCATGATTGGCTATTTCTGTTCGCGCCTTACCATTCAACGAGTCTGAACGGGCACGCAATAATCGGAGTATCGTGCCAAATTATGCTGACGATGATAATTGTTAATAGAAAATCCACCTATATATTCATCGATTGGCACAGTTTTGTTGCAAACGACATTTCCCTGTATCGGAGCGTGATTGTTCCTCCTTGGATTAAATAATCGTCGACAGATGTACATCTCGTGATACGCATTCCTTGTTGTTTCAAATACCCTTGCGTGATTTTCTTCCAATTCAGGTATATATAATAGAAAAAAAAGAAAATAATTAAAGAAAAAGCATGTTACGTAATGTACAATGAAACGATATAGGTGAAATAACATTTTTGGAAAATATTTTGAGCAAATCTCCGTATTAATTTCGAGTGCAATTTAACAGACAGAAACTTTACTAAACACGTCGGGACAAATTTCAAATAACTGAAATCAGTGACATCCGTCTCTTTCTACCATACTTAGCAGTTGGACCAATATCTGCGAAACTGTGATGAAGTCGCAAACATGTTTAAATTAAGCATAACAATGATATTTGTGAAAGTATCGCACGAACGTAACAGATCGCGTATTGTTTAAACGAAGATAAATGTAAATACGGTGTTTACCTCGATTCTGAAGGTGTACCACTTGCTTCGTAATATAAAGGACGAACTAACTGGAAATCGTAACGATTTCAAAGATAGCTGTCAAAAACATGACTCGTCTAATATGAACGTAACGCAACGAATGAAGAAAATAGTGCTCAGTATCGGAGAAAGTGAGAATAAAGTTACAAATTTTTACATGTTGCAGAGCATGATGCTCTTTGCGAACGCGTAAAACGTTTCACACGAGTATTTTACAGAGAACCGTATAACCTTTTGACACATCATGGCAAATCCAGGCGACTGTATCACATGCGGCGGTTTCTCGTTTTATAATAATTTTGATTCAGCAAACTTAGCAAAGGTTGAACTAGTAAAAGTGCCAGAAACTATTGAAAAGGGTAATCCTCTGCAGTGACCTATATTTTCTATATGGTACACATTAGAGCATAAGTGGTAATTGCACGTTCACGTGTTTTCAGATGGATGTGAAACAGAAAATAAATCATCAAGCAGAAGCTCAACTTCAGAGGATGCCACAGACTATGAGTTCAATTTGTGGACAAAGCATGATTGTCATGGAACACAGTTTCAAAATAATAACAGAACATGGTTTTACTTTGGTGTTAAGTCTAACACTTCAGGAACTTCTGTTAAATTCAATATAGTTAACTTAAACAAACAAGTTAAAATGTTCAGTCAAGGAATGTGTCCAGTTTTTAAAGTTGTACCTGGTCATCTGCATTGGGAGAGGATCCGTGACAAACCTACTTACAATGTAAATTTTATATATCTTTAGATATAGTGATGTTTCTGTATGCTATGTAGAGTCTATATAAATTTACAATATTTCAGTTGGATCAAAAAGGAAATGACTTTACATTGTCATTTGTTTATCTTATACCTGAAAATCCAAAAGCTATAACATATTTTGCATTCACTTATCCTTTTTCTTACACTGATTTGCAAAATTATTTAAGAAGAGTCGAAACAAGGATAGCAAAGAGAAATATAACATCTACAGATGATGTTTATTATCATAGAGAATGTGCAATAAAGTCTTTAGAAGGAAGAAGAATGGATCTAATAACAATAAGTTCATTTCATAACATATCAACGGAGAGAGAAGATAGACTGAATAATATGTTTCCTGAGAAAAATGAGGAACGACCTTTTAAATTTTGGGATAAAAAAGTATATAGTTCATTTCAAGCTTTATATAAAAATCATAGTATTATGATTACAGATATATAATAAAAGAAGTATTTTTATATTGAAATTTTCTTGCATAGGTAATTTTTATTAGTGCAAGGGTCCATCCAGGAGAAACACCATCTAGTTTTGTTTTTAATGGCTTTCTTAATTTTCTTGTAAATCGTGAGGATCACATTGCTATTAATCTTCGTCGCCTTTACGTGTTCAAATTGATACCAATGCTCAATCCTGATGGTGTAGTCAGAGGACATTATCGAATGGATACTCGAGGAATAAATCTCAATAGAGTTTATCTCAATCCTTCTTTAAAAGACCATCCAACGATATATGCTGCAAGAAATTTGATAAGGTAAAAATAGAGATAAGATAATTAATTCATATTTTTGTTAAATGATAAAAAAATTGATGAAACTGTAAAGGTATTATCATCATACGTACCAGTTACCAAAAGAGGATGAGATGTCAAACATGTGTATAGGAAACGGCGAAAATACATTAACTATTATTGATTCTTCTTGCGCAATTGCAAATATAGTACGCGATACAACGACAAGATTACTTCAGCAGGTAATGTGACATAGTTTTTCACAAATGAAAGTATCAAGCCATACTAACCCATAGAGGAAAATAAGCATTAACCAACTGTTTTAACAATAGGTAACTCTTATGACATTAGATGAAAAGCGTAAAGATCAACCGGAAATTTTTCAGGAATGTACATCGTCAAAAACGAATTCGGATGACATGCCTCAGGGTACGATATTTAGAATTGAATTATTGAACGTGATCAGCAAAATTCTTTTATTTATTTATTCACGTTATGTGAAGGTGGTGGAGAAGGCCTATGTAATAAAGCAGAAGAAAGTAATAATTCTGTAGAACTTAAATCTGATAAAAAAACTTACACAGCTGTTGGCATAGGACAATTATCTAAAGAAGACTCTGGATTATACCTATACATTGATCTTCATGGTCATGCTTCGAAAAAGGGTGTCTTCATGTATGGCAATTACTTTGACAATGTAGAGGACACAATAATGTGTATGCTTTTGCCAAAATTAATGTCCATTAACAATCCAAATTTTCATTTTACTTCGTGCAATTTTACAGAAAGAAATATGTATATTATGTACGTCTTATTATTATTATTGTTAAAGTCAAAGTCACTTTGATTTTTACATCCCGTGTATATTTCTTCTAGAGATAAAAGAGATGGTATGTCAAGGGAAGGATCAGGTCGAGTAGCTGTATACAAACTCACTGGACTTATACGTAGTTACACGCTCGAATGTAACTACAATTCTGGACGTTTAGTAAATTCGTTACCTGCGAGAGTTCGTGATGGTGTAAACAAAAATATGACTCATATATTTGTTCCGCCAAAGTATACTCCAGCAGTTTTCGAAGCGGTGAAATATTTCGCTATTTTATGCTCAAAATTTTTTCAGAACGAGATACAAAATAATCATGATCTGTTTGACTATGTTTACAGGTTGGAGCAGCATTAGGTCCTTCAATTCTTGACTTGACAAATAATAATCCTAACAGCCGACTGCCAAATAGCCAATATCGCTCTTTAAGGGGCGTAAAGTCTTATTTAAAATTAGCATACGTGAACAATCTTTCCTCACCAAACGACAAATCTCCGCATAAGGTAAATTTTGATGTAAATAATGAGAGTGAATTTTCGGCTGTTAATATAAGACATTGTGTACTCTCTTAATTCACAGTACCATTAACTTGGTATGCTTTCATATATTAATATCAAGACGCATTAGTGCCTAAATAAACTGCACATTTTATTGCTGATTAAAAATGTGGGAGAGAGATTTTGTATACATATAAATTGTGTATTATCTTGATTTAGTAGTGCGAAATTATGAATTTTTTATTGTAGAAAAACTCTATTCTTATATTATGTTATAATATTGTAAATGGCAAATTTTTATGATAATAACGTATTAATTATTTAATACATTTTATATATGCGACTAATGTAAATCTTGTAAAATTTTTATTATGTTGAACTAATGGGTCTTCCAATCTAATACGTATGTATGCATGACAATAATATTTGATATACTTTTATATAAAGGTTTATGAAAAAACTGTTTGTCCATCCTTTTTTAGATTTATTACATAATTTAATTACAAAGTGTGTACAAAATGCAATTTTTTACAATTCAGAAGTTGTGTTCATCATATTAACAAATAAATATTATGTACATATATTGTTACTTTACCATTTAGTAATGTTTTTATGATACAATGAATTTTTGAGGCTGTACTATTTTTTTATTGTTTTATATTAAAACTAAATAATAGAGTCTAAAATTTCGATGTTAACGCTTATATTTTTAGCAACAAAATACATTCTTTTTTTATTTCCTTTAAACAGTTTTTAATGCGCCATGCTTCTGATGACAATAGATAAGTGCACTTATACTAATACTACATGCATTTAAAAATTATTTTATGAATGCGAGTAGTAATATGAAATACACACATATGTAATTAATGATATCTATTTCTTTAGCAAAAAAAAAAAGCAGAACGTAATGGTTTAGATGATTCAACCATAAATCTCCGGCTGATGGAGTCTATTTAAAAAAAATGCAAATTTTTAAATTGAGATTTAATATCTTGTAATTAATGAAACAAATGACAATAATTATAATTATACTTAAATTTATCGTTTATTGCACAGATGGTAAAATTTTAAGATGATAAAATTATTTTGTGTACTTTTTTGCTTTCGAAGAAAAAGATATACAGATACATGTATTTACAAAATACATATGTAATACAAAAATAAGTATGAATGTGTGTTGTACTGTCATATATAAAATTACTGTTAAAGATAAACATATACTATATAAAACATACTGCCACACTAAAAATGCACAGAAGAACTTATACACTACTTATTGTCATGCTTTTCATTACTTGAATGTAAATGTTGTTACTGATCAAAGAGAACATTATGTATAAATTCATGTATACAAATTTTATAATGTATTCTATTCCACACACATATGTACACACACATAAATACATATACATGTCCTATTGTTTTAATAAATTTACAATATTTTTAGCGATAATTTATTTACCTTATTTTTATTTTACTCCTGGTAATCCTTAGTTCCAGTGCCGTATATTAATTGTCATACAATTTATATGTTTCTAACATTAAAAATCTTGTTCAAAAACTGATGTGAATGAGCAACCACAAATCAAATGAGAATGTTGAATGAACTGTCATTGAATTCATTGTTGTACAAAAAATGTTACTGATCTACCTTTCCTTGCTCTAATAAAATTAGAAATGCTGGGGCAAAAGATTGTAGGAAAATAAGAAGGAATCAATCTCTCTCTCTCACAAACTTTATTTACTGTAATAATATCTCTCGCATATTTGTTTTCTTATTTACGCTTTTATTCACAGGATGATAATAATATTATACCCTCAGAATCTTATAATTTAAAAGAAATTGAATCTCAAATAAGTAACTCTTCCATTGGGTTAAAGAACTCAATAAAGAGCGAAACGAGCTTCGTAAAAAAACCATGCATCATTCGTCGTACTACGTCTCTTTATACCGCAGTAAAAAGAATAAAGAACAATAAAAAAGTTCGACAAACTGTAACCCGTAGACCGTTAAAAAATCAATGCATCAATAATATCGAGAGCAGCTCGAAAATGCCTGTGATCGGACCAAAAAATATCGTAAAGTCATTTTTAAAAACTTCAGAAAATCGTTTGAAAAACTCTTGTTTTGGATGTATCAACGATTCTTCGGAAGTAAAAGATATTCAATATGCGAATAAAAAATTAACAACGGCAAACAAATTCTTCAAGATGAACACATTGTCTTCCGAGGAAACAGCAATCGTAAAACATGGAGCAAAAAGAATGAAAATTGTTTCTATGAGAGTGAATAAAGGGAGACCGGAAGTTGGTGAGCCATCTAACAACGTTCCAGAAGTGACAAAATCGCCCTCGAAAACATTGCTTTTGCCAAACAAGCAAAACATAAGAGGAACCGCAAAAGCAATGAAGAAATATTGTCATAAAATGGAACAGAACAAATCCAAGTCTTCCAAACAGAAGAAATCAATAGAAATAGTATAATAATCGAGAACTCATCGAATAACGAAAGTGCAAACAAAATTCTAAATTAGCTGGTAAAGTATGATGCTGTAGGATATTAATGCTTTAGCGATCAGTTGCAGCTTCATTGTTTTAGACATTCGTCTCTAGCATTCGCTTCGAATATAAGAAATTATATACGTTGAGTCTAGAAATTGAGTGAGTTATTCAATTAATGTACATAAGAAAACATTACAAATGATTTATCACGTTGTTAAAGAAATGTGAGATACATTTATCTTCTTTTTTATCTTTCTGAATAGAAAATTTAAAGATGTTATGTTTGTGTTAGACAAAATAATGTGAAACAGTTTCGAACATGTTTAAAATGAGTTATATTGGGAAGTTAACTTGAAATTGTATAATAGTATTATATATACATTACGTGTGTCCCGCTGTGAATACGTACATACCTATATAAATTCTAAAACGTTCTATTATTTATGTAAAAGAAAGAACAATACAAATAAACGCCAATATATAATATCAACTTACCATTAGTAACATCTTCAACATTTTTTAAACATTAAATAAGAAAAAATAATTTATAAATCGATTATAGATCACATCGAGCGATCTACATATTCGCTTCGACTACTTTCGGTTCGACTCGGATCGATTCGGAAACATCACAGCGAAAGACTTTTGTGCGTGACCCCTCTCCGTCTCGGTCAGTCGCTTTCGCGTCGTTGGTTCGTTCGTTTATGTGGTTACGAATTCGAGTGAAAATCACGTTTGTATACAGATGTGATTATTTTAATAAGTGATTCTAAACAAACATACAGAGACATTGAGCGAGAGATTACATTTGATATAAAAGTGTTTGGTGTTCTATCCTTGGCAAAGATCTTTCGAAATGGGCGCCATTGGCGGGATTAAAAACCTCACGCTTTTCGCGGCATTTCTACTCTTCGTCGAATGTGGTAAGGTTAATGCATATAACTATAGACGATGTGAATATCGTGGCGTCCTTTTGGGTGGGGCCTTATAATTTTTCATATTGTCCTTATTAAGCGAGAAGCGTGATCACATTCGGATATAGTATCATAAGATTACGCAGAAGCCTGATTTATAAAGATCAAGCGAAAAAAATCGATTTCGTTGAGTATATGTACATACTCATTTCTAAATGACAGCTTGAAGTTAGTAGTTAATTGTTAAACGAAATTTGATAATTATATCAATTGTAATTGGTACTGATCAAATTGCGATTCACGAATTTAACAATTTAAACTATCTGTGGGAAATATCGTATAATATATTTACACTCAGCTAAGCAATTTATTAATTCGAAGCTCAATAAGAAACTATATTTGGGTCAATTATTATTATTTTTTTTTATGGAAACTAATTCACAATAATAAGTCGCAAAAATTTCTGTCTTAATATTAATTCATGTTTTTTCTCGTTAAGTAATCAATTAGAGACTAAAACAAATATTTGTAATATATACGCGTATTGTCATTTAATTATTTTTTAGGTTATATTTTTTGTTTTTATAATTTGGAAAGCGTCATACGACGCTAGCTGACAAGAATATGAATCAAAGGGGAATAAACGGAATTGCCAATTTTTCTTTTCGTTTAGTCCACAGTTTAAAATGCTATCAATGCATCAGTACAAACAACACCGATCCCTTCCAATGCAACGAATTTCTCTCGAGCGACGTCAATATCACACCGCAGCCTTGCGATGCTGTTTTCGGGGCGCAGTATTGCGTGAAGCACACTGGCCGATTCGAGGGTAAAACAATATCGGCAGTTCAGATTACATATCATAGGAAGGGGAATCTTGTTGCGAAACTTAGCACTCTCAAACCAAACTAACCTTAAATCATACGTAACGACATCGTCGTATCGATGCATGCGGGGAACAATCAGAGCACGATAATCATCTTCGTTCAAATTTTTAAATAACTAACGTATTCTTAAGTCACGTATCTGCGTACAAAAATGGTCTTTTATATCTAATATTCAACGTTCAACGACAAAACAAGGAAAAAATATTATGTTTGCATTAGAAAAATCTGTCGTTGGATATTGAAAAATGGTAAAACGTTATAACAATTTTAACATACAATCGAGCAATCAACACGCGCAATAAAAAAAAATGCTATAACCGGTGCTTTTTCAATCGATTAAGCTACTTGTTTGGATTGCTACCAATGCACATCGGAAGAAGAACTCGGCTGTGGAGATAGCAATTTGGTTCTAAGTACCTTACAACCGGCAAACTGCAGTCACGTATACGATGCACGGTATTGCATCAAATCAATCGAACTATATGGAGGTTCATACATTGTATATTGAGTGTTCTCGATGTTCGAGTGTTCACACGAGTAGATTTTCTTTATTTCTGTTACACAAAGATTCTGCTTTCTTCAAAGCTTTCTATAACGATGAAAAAAAAAAAGAATGAACAAATAAAAAGGATTGTAAAAAGTAAGTGCACGTTGCTTTCATCAACACGCTGTACCTCTAACATCTTTCATCTTTCAATGCATGTTACATACTTTGTCGTTTTTCATCTTTAATGCATGTTATTTGGACTAATGTCATTCAATTGCGTCAAATAAAATAAACAATTTTTCTTATATTTGTTGAAATAGGTGGAATAGGAACGAAACGATTCTGTTCAGCACGAGATCTGGGAAATTATTGCGATTACGTGAATCGACAGGGTGACAAATTGACTTACCGAACCTGCATCTTCAGCTGCGCCGGAGACGGATGCAATCCAGCGGCCATCTTGAAACCAAGTATCGCACCGATGTTATTACTTGGTTTATTCGCCGCGTATAAATTATTTTTCACATGGTAAATATTCTCTCACTGGATAACATTTTTCTAAACGTACATTTTGTGCGTTCAGATTTCTTCTAAAAATCTATTCCGTCCATGATTTATTAACACGAAATATTGCGAATGTTTATAATCTACGATGTACTTTAGGGAACTATGTGGTTCGCACGTGATTTGTTTTATAGGATAACACCAACGTGCCTTTTCTTTTTAACAAACTATTAAAAAGCAAAGGTATTGATCAGTAGTTACCGTAATAATTGTAGTTTTAACGAATTTTATATTCAGATTTAATCTGCATCGTCAATGCTTGTTTCCAACTTGTTACTTGACTGCAAATACGCTTATTCTTGTTTAAAGCAATCGTGTCTCGCGTAGCACGGCAACACATTCTAATATTTAGAATTTATCAATAAGTTTTGAACAATCAGTATGTCTGTAATATGAATTACAAACTTTACATTAAGTTTCCATTTGTACACAAGCAATTCAATTGTGTACTTACATATAGATATTTTTATAGCAGTTTTTTTTTATTATTAATTTAACGACAATCTAGATTACTTATTTTTGTATATTTTTGTACAAAATACGAATCTTTTTGTAACGTTTGAACAATGTAGATACAAAAAACCTAAACATTTTCATTTTTATCCTCTAATTTCTTCTTTCTCTGCAATTCTGTATGATTAAGCTTATTGTTAGAGACTAAGGGCTTGTTCTGTATAAATCACAAGATAATACAAATGCGATCGAATGCATTGTTCTTTATTTTCATCGAACAAGAATCCCCCATTCATCTTACATACACAAACTTGGTTTTTCTGGCGTATAAATATATGATATAGTCGATCAACTGGTGATAACAAAATTGTCTCACGACGATCCGTAATAAGGTACTTGCACGTTCTTTGGTATATCCATGTTTATACAGCGAACGGTACATAGAATAGCACTTTTTGATACGACGATACACGTGTCCGTTTTAATGTGCCTGCCTTAAGCAAAAGTTCTCCGTCGAGATGAAAGTTTAGGTTAATTACTGCGAAACTGATCGCTTGCAAAGCAGCTTTCATAATACAAATTATACGTTTTTTTTTCTTTTCTTGCAAAGAAGAATACACACATATTCGTATAAGCTTTATCGTATAGAAATTTCTCTCTTTATAGTTGTAAAATGAAAAAAAAGCGCACACACACAAGCATAATATCGGTAATATTAAGATACCAAACGACCAACACAATACGTAGTCCACTATGCTTGATAACATCTGTATGTATGGCTGTGTTTGAAGTAAATGAAACACAGAGCGAAACATTTCAAAGCGATATTTTTTTCCATTAAAACAACTCTCGTTTGAACTAGATTGAATCATTAATTACCATATTATAAAAGTCACGTCGGTGGTAATATTTCTTTTTCTATTTCTATTTTATGTGCCCTATTTTTTCTTCCGTTTCCTTTCTTTTTTTCTTTTTTCTTTTTTTTTTTATTGCAACAATCAGTGTGCGCTGAACATAAATATACATATATTATATGTATCAATTATTCTTAGAATGTTCACTCGAATTCCTCTTTTCGTTTCCTTTCTCTTTTCTTTCTTTTTCTTTTTTTTTCTACATTGTCGCTCGGAATTACAACTATATATCGTATGAAAAATACATATATGTATATGTATAAACAGTGTATATAAACCATTACTAAATCTGATCGCTACTAAGCAATGATAGAATTTCTCGTGGCTAACAATTTCATTCCCAGTTTGTTGGTCCTAGAAATATATATAATTTGACACACATATATCAGCGTTACTTCGTATATATAATAATAGAAGTGAATAAAAAAATTGCTATCGGTTTTCCTCTTTTTCCTTAATTAATGGATCACTTCGCTAGCTTTCACCTTCCTATCTCTCTGATTGAATTTCCGCTATATGCACATACATTAAGTTCTATGTATACTTAACTGTATAAAAAGAAGTAGTGTCAGCCTAAGGATTTGAAATTAATTACATTGTATAGTAAATATCGTCACTGCCATGAGCTCGCTAAGAAAAGAAACGTTGTATTGCCACTTGTACCATGGCAGTGAGGAGTGTGGCAGTGATCAATACACTCGACAATATAGAATAGCTTAAACACAAGCTTAACAAGCTAAATACACCGTCGTCATATCATCTTACGGGAAAAAAAAAAGAATAAAACGAGATGTATACGCAACAGAACACAAATTATTAATGTACAGTCATTATAATGGAATTTATAGATATTACCGACCATCAACATGGTGAAGTAAAGAAAATAAATCAAGATATTAATATTAATACATTAAGTTCATTTAAAGAAAATCAACAAAATAAATATTACAGAAAATTCATCGAAACATATTCTTTTACCGATTCTCGTTTCCAGGAAATCTTAACTTTAATTATTAGTCATTATTAGTCCTTGCATCTTGTGCTATTTCATCGAATCTCCAAATGATGATTTTTCTTCTTCCTTTTTTTCCTTCTGTTTTTTTTTCTTTTTTTTTTATTGCGTTCATATCCTCTGCGCAACACCTAAATATCTCTGCATTTATCTATCACTCTATGTTATGACAATTCTATATAGAACGAGTCGCATACGATAAACACGCGTATGCATAGGACAGGTACAATTCTTCATGTACTGAACATTTAATACTTCGTCCAAGTTTTACGTCTTTATATCAAGCTGATCTTTCTCCTTCGTTATTATCGCACATGTAACTTCAAATGAAAAATTAATTCCCCGAAATAGATAAACAAATTCGAACAGTAAGAAATGGTTGTTACATTCGTATGAATTAATGAACAAGTGACGGAAGCTTGTATAATTTTGTACATCAAAAAAAGAGAAGACTTCACTTCTAAAACGTACAGAAACTGTGCATGATGAAACGTTACGTTCTCGGAGAAGTATCAACGTTTTATATAGACAAAAAACTCGTCTGTATAGTGAAGGCATTAGTGTAAATCACAATCATTTGTTCATCTTTTTGTTCAGTTTTTCTTCTACAGCAGAACAAGTCTCCAAACTACGAGTCTCTAAAAAAATTGACTAAATTATTGTTGCTTCATTGCTGCGTTTTTCTTTGAACAACGGTACAAGATCGCCACGCGAGAAATTGCAAAGAGAGAGAAGATTAACGTATAGAGAAATGCTATAAAAATGCATCGTATATCATTCACAAGATACTCTAGAGAGAATAGTACGTAACTGCATTAATATATTATCAGTATATATAACCAGTATATAGTTTCCAGTTTTTTAAAGTTTCTCGAACACCTTTAAATATCGTTTTGCACCGTCTTCCTTTCTCTTTTGTCTTTTTTGTGCAAATTTCATCGACAGCTTAGATATTTAAATTGCCATGAACAATACGCGTTATTTGGTTCGTCAAGTACCATGTTCCTCAAGTACAGCTAGCAACAAAGCTACAAGGAATTTCGCTCGACGCATACGTTGAGGAGGATCCGCAAGAAAGGGTTTACTGACGCTGAAGCTTACGTATCTGCTCCTCCAGCTCTTTCACGCGTAACTGACTATTTGCTAGCTGCCTCCGTACCAATCTTAGCTCGTCAGTTTGACGAACGAATGCTAATCTCAGTTCCGCCTCGTTATTGGGAATGTCCACGTTCTCCAAGACCTTGTTATCGTTCGTAGAAATGATATTCTTCTGTAAAACAAGTCAATCAGTCTAACCTGCGAAAGCGGTGAAACGCTTTAAAGTTTAAAGAAACTTTACACTGGTTCTACCTGCAGCACAACATTGCCGAATTTTTGTTGCAACTGTTGAAACTTGGTGCTCTGATTGCTAGACGTTTTCTGGCTTTTCTCTGACATATCGTGGAACTCGATCGGCCTGTAATCCGGCACGGTCTCAGTAGACAGAAAGGCGAATTTCTTTTTATTATTCAAGTCGGTTGTCGGTGGAAGTTGCGGTGGCTTGTACACTCGTGGCTTATGCGTGGTAATGCTACCACCTGTTAACATTTGACTGGTAAAATCGAGTAACGAGGGAAAGGTGAAATAGACAAGACGAGAAGTTGAAAAAGTTAAGTCGTACCGGTTTTCAGAGAAATTAAGATCGGTGGACTGTTCATGCCACTTATCCAGTCTCTGGCTGATAAAGCTGGACAAGTGCCTATCGTATCAGGATACAGGTCCTCTTGAAATTGATCGCTCTAAAATGTGAAAGTTGCTGTTAATTACACCCTGTCAGATTACAGATTCGTTTTTTGCAATTTCCTGTATACGCACCTTTCGCGGAACTATCATGGATATCGGCTCGCACATTCCTCGAGTCGCGTGCAATTTGTAAAATCGGAACACTTCGCAGATAGCCGTGTTAACGCCTCTTTTCGGCATTACGCCTAATCCCCTTTGGGGATTCCCAGAGATGAACTGACTGAGAAAATGCATCCAGGGAGCCTCGTTCACTATCTCGTAGTATCGAATATTACCGTCGCCCTGAGATTAAGAAAAGAATATAAAATATTCACTCTTAATATGCACATTTTTGGCTACAAGTTCATAAAATTCATTAGAGTTCTTCAATAAATGTAACAAATTGTATGCTCATTTACCTTTCCCGCCAAGTACACCATATTAGTGTCGTTGTCATAATATGGAAAAACTACTCCACTGGAAGAGTCAATAGTTTCACATGTCAGCGGTACGTTCAAATCATGCTGGCTCCAAATGGCATACTGTCTGTCAGAGTGACGACTAAAGCCTGTCGTAAGAAGACGTCCAGAACTGCCAAGGAAAACGACTTTGCTAGCCTTTGTTCCAGCGTGGCAAATTCCTTCCTGTTGATGATCAGTAGAATTACTCATAGTTTTGAATGAAATAATTTCAAGAAAATAATCAAGAGGTTACATACAGAAACCACAATGCCAGATCTTGGTTCGAAAACTCTCAATTTCTTATCCTTGCACGTCGTTGCTAATAAGCTACCGTCACGATTCAACGATATACTATAGATCACATCAGGGTGCCTATCGATCACGTTGACGGCCTCTCCTTTATTTATGTCCCACACGATAACAAGATGATCGAAACCAGCGCTAAATAGCACGTTCTCAGCAACGGGGTGCCACTCTATGTAGGCGACACGACGTTTGTGACCTTGCAACTCCACCAACCACTCGGTCAAATTTCGCGACAATCCACCGTCAGGAATGTGCCACAGTTTTATCTGAAGTTAGAATTAAAGCAATAAGAAGAACGCTGTAAAACATGGACTGCATAACCCATTAAGGACCAAGCAATAAGTTCATTCTACAATATATAATATCCTATATTGATTTTATTATGCATACTTCAATGTTTTTATATGTCACAAAATTATAGAATTTAAGTAGAAAATTAATAAACTGTTGAACGCTTTGTAATATAATATAAATTGATTTAAGTGTTGCTCCTTAATGAGATAAAGATTCATTATTCATAAGATTTCAAATAATTATTTATAAGATTTACAAAGAATCTCAACTAATTTTGAAAGAATCGAAGATAAAAGAAATATAGATAAAACGGCAAACTTAAATTATCAAGTGGGCCTACTTTATTTTTTGCGTCGTCTTTTATAAATAACAGAAATAATAAGCTTGAAAGTAGCACAAAGTGTTAAGTTCTAACTTTAACAGAGCGTCGTATCCTGTAGATATCAAATGATAGACCAGAAAGTCGATGCCGTACGGTTTATGTATGATTCAGCCTTATGGTAGCAATTTGTCATAGCGGTAGGTCATCCAGTTGATGGATGGTGGAATTTCGTTTTCCACTAGGCTTGCTTCATAGAAAACTGAATTTTACAAGAAATATTATAACTGAGAAAAAAAAATATTATAACAGAGAAAAAAAAGTCAATTTTAACAGATTTTAAGTTCACCATTTCTAGCAGTTGACGCTTTTCAGTTTAATAGCTTTTATCATTGCGAATTAAAATTTTTCTGACTTTAACATTCACATATTTTGACATGGGAGAAAATATGAAAATTGTAACATTGCAACGCATTGAAAACAAAACTTTCGTTATCTGAGCGATGTTGAAATTCCCCTTCAACTATAAATTTACAATCTACCTCCTTATCAATCGATAAAAGTTTATCTAATATTTAGTACATCTAACACTATACGAGCAACGTTCGATCAATAAATATCACCGACTATTTTAAGTGACGGTACATAAAACTAGGAGTACGATCGTACAGTGCAGTCGTCGGAACAGGAAGCAATGATGTTATCGTTGAACGGATTCCACTTGATGTCTAGAACCGGTCCAGTGTGCCCAGTCACTCTGCTAGCGTTAAAATCCAGCCTACCAGTCTAAAAAAGAAAAAAAAAAGAAAAGAAACGTTCAATCACAATGAACCATTAATTAAACGATTGAATAATCTCAATTCAATAAATCATTCGAACTTCTTCATTCTTATCTCTACATGTTTCAACGTCTTCGGCTATCCATCATGAGCTTTCATTTGAAAAGCATCCACGTTATTTGCGTCAATGTACATTATGGCATAAAAATATGTGGATTTAGATTAACAACACACGACAATATTACTAAAATAAATTAATACTCTGGAAATGTATATAGAAATTACAAAGTATATTATGCTTATTATGTAATATAATATTCTGTAGTAGAAAAACATCTAATAAATATATAGCAAAACGTGTTAAAAACAATAAGGATACAATAATCTCCAAATTTTACAGCGATCCAACCAATATATATATATATATTGTAAAATTGGCTGTAAAATCGCTGTAAAATTTGGAGATTATTGTATTCTTATTGTTTTTAACACGTTTACTATACATTTATTAGATGTTTTTCTACTATAGAATATTATATTAAATAATAAGCATAATATAATTTGTAATTTCTTATTACATAATTGTAAATTATATGTATATATATATATATATATCGGTTTAATGTATAATTGAGTAGTTCATAGTTTAATTAGCCTGATATGCTATCACCATCAAGCAAACGTTATTAGTTCGTACGGGAATAGCGAATCAATAACTCGATAAGCTAGATAACTCACGCGATCGAGCGGTAATACCAGGAACGCCCCGCCGCCAGCCACTTCCGTCACCACGGCCAGGAACTTGGGATTCACAGCGCAGAATTGCGAATCGTGGGCGTTCTTCGTGATCTTGATGTTGTCGTAGCATTTCTCGCGTTTCGCTGGCACGCCGTACACGTGGCGAAATTTGCTACTTCGAACGCCACGGAACCACGACTGGAAAGAAAAAAGAAAAAAAAAAATAAAAAAGAACGAACGTGGGATTAACATCGACGAAGACGAAGGAGTTAACGGAACAGATGAAAGTCAAGATAATGTTAGTAATTTGAAACATTGTTCTGGACCTTCGATGTGGCTGAAAACGTAAGGATTATGACTTTACGAGGATTAAAGATTGCACGATAACGATGATGATTGAATCGACAAGATCTTTGAGATTTTAATAATAACAATTAAAATATTGAAACAGAAGTTTCAAATTTGACTGCAGTATTATTCTTTCTTTCAATTTCCACTTTTATTAACTAGTGATAAAGAATTTTGAAGATTTGACAATCTACCTAACTCTTTGGGGGAATTGTACTTCTGTCCTTTTTAACCAAAGAATTGCGAAAGGAGCAGAGAACAGTGTATACAGAAACGTTCTTCAAGAGGACATTTTTTTTTAATTGCAACTCACGCCACCATATCGTCAGCACTCAAGTAGAAGCTGATGATATAACGTGTAAAGTCACTTTACTGCAGCGTTGATAGGTCGACGAACTTAAGACCAGAATAACCATCCTTCCAAGCAGATCTTAGAGCTAAGACCTAGAAGTGTCTGAACGCCTCCTCCTGAGGACCAATCCTTTCCAGTTCTCAATAGCCATTTAAACGACCTGCTTAGATTTAAACTCCTTATTTTGCAAGATAAATGGCACAAGTAGACGTCTTATTCCAAAGAATATATCGTCTGTTGTTTGTTCAGGAAATTTTATTCTAAATTTTCTGATTTTCATGAAGACACACAGATTTTTCTATCAATTACTGAAGTTAATTTGACCCGAAAGAAATCGCTTGTGAGCCACCGATTATTACTTACTAAGGAGGATCGTTATTAACCGTGCATCTCGACCAATTACCTTTGTGCAACTTGCACAGCGTTAAATCGCCTATAATCGCTCGAGATCGTCGTTAACGTTTGCTCCAGCGATTACTCGCAGCAAGGTCAATAGCACGACGATAGCAGAACGTATTTTTGCGTTGCTGGGACTCTCTCCGGCTCAGAAACCGTGAAGAAGAAAGTTTCGTGGACCGAATATTTCACCGATGTTTCTGTTATCGTTATCAAATTGACTCCTGACAAGTCTATGGAACGACGACTCTTGATCTTCTGAAACATTTCTCTTTCCAAGATGTGTACTTTGAAGTTAACTCTTAACTGTTAGCGTGAAATCTTGAAGCACTCTAGAAAATTGTAAGTATTTTTATACTTTTGATTCAAATGAAAATGATGATCCCTGAAATTTTCATAATTTGTAAGATCAAATTGCATTCCTTTAGACTTTACTCCACGAAATTAATGTATCACCGTAAAAGTTAAAGATTGAAACAGAATTTGAGGAGAACTCTTTCGTTCGTTCTTTTTTTATTAATCAGTGGAAAGTATGTAATTTCTCTCGATAATTCTGCAAACAAAATTTAAAAGATCGTAAGATATCTTGTTCGTTATTATCAGTCTCTATATTTACTAACTTTTCATCAATCTTCAAATCAATCTTGATTATAAATCCCTTCTCTAATCAATGAAATTTCTTTCTTAGAAGTTGACTGTTTATCCTATTCGATACAATTCCTCTATCAATTCTTTAATTACCTCTTCCTTCCTTCTTAGAATTAAAAGAGTTCCAAAAGATCTCTACTATACATAAATGTTAATCCTATTTATCAGTAATCGTGCCTAAATCCTTTTATCATCTCTTACATTAGTCTTTTAAGAGCTTTGTTGTTGAATTGATATAATACTGACGTTTTACAGGGACACTTGGAATTACATTTCATTTAGAGCAAAATTCTGACAATATTTACAATTCTGGAGTGCAGTAGCACTTCGTAACAGCAGCTAGGCTGATTAATTCTTAAATATTTCAAAAGGAGAAATACTTTAGATTTAAGTTTAAATGTAATAAAAACTTTCAATTTCAGAGTCGAAATTCAAATTAGATTAGTTTCAAACTGAATTAAACTTAACCTTGCATTTACGAAAATTTAATTTACTCGAAATTTCATTTACTTTGAGAACGAAATTGTAAAAGCATTTGCAACAGCCAGAATACTCTAACACTCCAAGGGTCAATGTCAGAATACTTTGGAAAACCAATGGGCCATCGTCGCCCATAGGTTCAATGACTGAACGAATGTTTCGTCTTGATTCAATTTTACTCTGCTTGATCAGTAGTGAAGATACGAGCGTCTGTGATACGTTTTGACACTCGAATGCAGTTTATACCCGCGATGTGAAATCTTTGGAGTTGGTCGCGCGTGTTGCGCGTGACGAGCAACGTAGCGCGGTGAGACAGAGCAAATTATGCGACTTTTTCTTGCAACAACAAAAAGAAAATATACGTCGAACGTGCCCACCGTTCCGGTCCCTGTGAAATTTTAACCGTAAGTTAGTAATCGCAGCTATTAACGGCCTTTGCGTCATTTTTCGTCGTCTCTATGCGCGATCATCCACTCAAATGAGTCGTTATGAGTTGGAAAATACACGATTCTCATTTTTTCGTCATTGCTATTATATTGTAACAACGTATTGATCAATCTTTTGACATGTTTATTCGATTCATTGCAACATTGTTGCCCTATTTGAACCTCACAAGTGCAACACTAATTGCCTTAAGCATTTCTCAACGATACTTTAGTATCGCTCAAAGGGCCAAATGATCATTCAGGGTTTCACAACTATAATTCGTGCCCCATCGATGTTAAAATTTGACACGCTTTTTTGTAAGTCGCTATAATCGTATACTGCGTATCAAGAACAACAAAGAAACATTTAAATGATTTATTTTACAGATTTAAATAGGATTCAACGTTATTTTTTCCTACATGGTGCAGTACCACCAAGGGGAACAAAAGACAGTTCACTGTCAGATAATCTTTTTGGAAATTCAGAGAACGTCAAACGCCATATTCGCCGATAAATAATAAAAATATATCAGGAATAATAAGAACGTTACTCGGACAATCTTTTCCAAGCAAGCTCCAAAGCTATTTCTCTTTGAACGACACTTTTCACCTATGCACATCACTGCGATTATGACTCATCGTGATTCAAGATGATCTTTTTACGAGTTTAGAGAAACTCGATTGGTGTTTTTAACGTATTAAGGAATCACACGTTTCATATATTCTTTATACAATGCCGCGTTCCGATTCGTTGATTCGTCGTTAAACATGAAAATTATTGTCGGGTCGAACGCGTTGTTTTAACTCTGCATTTTGATAAATGCACCGAATTGATTTGAAACGATCGACAGAATGAGATAAGCATTTTTTTTCGCGAAATCTTTGGATAAGAATCTAAGAGGAGCGCGGATGCGTTTGGTAGTGATGGTTTGATAAAAAGTTAGATTAGATTCTACCTGTTATCTACACTCAGAGTCGCAGAATTGAGAATCAACAGGGCCTTTGGACTGCCTCAACTAGGTTTGTTGGCAGAGCGGCAGAACCTTCGTTTGAAATTATTCGCTTCTCTCAGACCAACTTCAATAGAACTTAAATATAGTCGCATGCTAAATTAGAATTTAAGCTTCGAGAAAAATTCGAAGCTAATTCGAAATGGCAATTGATGCGAAATCTCTGTTGCGAGTGATTTACTTCTGTTAGAAGATTTATAAATTTTCTTTGGTTCGATAAAAAAAAAAAATCAAATTCAAGAAACTAAATCGTAGTTAAGAAACTACATAACATCCGATATTATTATATAATATTACCGTGATTAATCTATTGCGATTGATAACAAGATTCTAATTTCCTTCGATTTAATTGAAGAAAAGCTAATTTAGTGAAGCAGAAACAAAATATTTATTGCAAATTACGAAATTACTAAATTGATCCTAGTGTCAATTTTAATAAGTTCCATTAGTATTATCTTTGCTGAGAAAGAAAGGTGAAATAAGTGTTTCAAGAAACTGTTCTCTAATAAATGACACAAATAATAAACATTTGAAATATGATGCCTTTTACGAAAAAAAAAAAGAAGCAAACGATCGTCCAATGTAATTGAAAATCGTTCGTCGGCATACTGTTGGTTCGTCCACCAAGAGTGATCAGATAATTCAACCAAATCGATCGTGTTTCGCGAGTAATAACTCCGTGGCACGCTAACAGCAATTAGGGTCACACGAGCGCCATACGCGCGTGCAATACTAATCGCGTCTGTCTAGTCGCAACATTGTTAAAATGTTACGACTCTTCTGAAATGTGAAAATGTAATTAAATCGCAAAATTGTCAATAATTAATAAATTTTTAAATGAAACGATATATATATATGTTATAACACAGTTTCAAGTCTTTTACTCGATCATGCAAATATTACAGAACTCCATTTATAATATTATGGGATAATTTTGGCTGGTGCTTATACTAGCTGATAGTAATACTATCATTAAAGAAAATGTTATAGTTAGTTATATCATCTAGAAATATATATAATAACACTAAATTTTCACTGACGAGGTTTGACAGAAAATTGGAAAATTATTTTTGAGTAGAAATCTTACGACAATTTATTAATTTTCTTAAAATTTTGCCTTCTCTGATTTTTTTTTGAAGATATGTTGCTACCTCATTCTTAACGAAGGTGTAAAATTTTTTTAAGATTAAAAAATTCATATGTTTCAACAATTTTATGACTAATAGATCTTAGACTTATAATCTTGGAATTGTAACAATTCAACAATGCATTGAAAATTATCCACTTGATAGAATTGATCAAACACTTGTCTGCAATTAAACAATGGTAATTTGAATTTGAATAATATAGTGATAGTTCGATGTTCGATTCTAATTGACGAAGTGTCATTTCTACGCATGACAAAGATTGAAAACAGTTTCATAAACAGGATAGATAGAGAGAAAATTGAATACGAGTGCGTGTGTGGTGCGTCGTGCGGGAAGAGTACGAAAATATCTCAATTCGTTGTGCCATTTCTTCTACAACCTTTCTCTCGAG